TTTTTGGTCTCAGTCTTTCGGGTTAACTCTGGGTACTTTTCGAAGCCAGGCAGGTAGACAGCAGTCCCTCGCACAGTCAAATATTGATGGAGCGTATGCGACCTTGTTGACTTTACCTTTAGACATCTTCCCAGCCTCGAGGAAGCGCATGGGGAGGAAGGGGGGGGGGGTGTTTTAGGATTGGCCCTCGCGTTAAGCTTTCATCCTGGCTTGGTCCACAATGTCCGCTAACTCTTCCAGAACTGTATTATGGCGCCATGTATATCGTGCCTGGTCTTGAGCTTTTCTGCGCACGGACAGTGTGTGCTCAAAGATTTGCTTATCTCTGAACAGAGGACACGCCGGGTGAGTTGTTGCAGACCACTTTGCTCTGTTTGCGCAAGAGACTGACACATCATAAGCAGATCTTATGATAATGCTTAGCCGCAGCGGGTCTATTCACCAATAATAAGAAACTCCACAGGTGAGCATGTACAGCAGGAGTCTACCAATCATCAGCAGAAGTAATCTCTCGTCGAAAAATGTTTCGGCCCACAAGCTCCTAGACATTTTCAGATAGTGGGCCCACCTGAGCATATGAGGCTCAGCGTTGATTTCCTCCTGCTGCATGTATTACCGGATCTTTTCCGAAAGAGCAAGACGAATTTGGTGACTTTGCAAAAGGTACTGTGAGATACTGTATTTAGATAGTCGCTGCGGTAACTTAATTAGAGCAGTCAGCATACCTGGACGACCAAGTGGCAAGCTAACGGTTGGTTTATCGGACACATGTTGGACTTTGTTGGCAGGTGGCAGAGGGACATTGGCAGACAATTTCGTTGTGTCCAGAGCCAGCTCGAGGCCCTCTCAGCAACCTCGCCCAGTTGTTTTAATGCTCATTTGCGCTCATTTCCTAGTTGTTTAATAACATTGTACAATGAAGTGGAAACGAGACCACTTGTGCCTAGCTCGACGGCGAAGATTTTTACTGTGTACGCTTCATCTCTTCTCAGACCAGCCGCTAAGTCACTGTAGTAGAGCTTGTACATATGGCTTTAGTCTATTCGCGACTCATACGGCACTGTCAGCTCAATCAGGATGAACTGACGTTTCTTCACAGAGTGTAGGACTATGTCAAGTCGCAGGCCAGTCTTCTGGATTACCTCAGGGTACTTTTCATGACTAGGCAGGTCAACCGCCAGCAACCAGTCCCTCGCACAGTCAAGCATCGATAGAGCGTATGCGACTTTGTTGAATTTACCTTTATAAATCTGCCCAGCCTTAAGGAAGCGTACGGGGACTACTGTAGGACTGGCCCTCGCATTGGCCCTCATCCTAGCTTGGTCCACAACGGCCGCTAACTCTTTCAGCACTTTGTTGTGGCGCCAAATGTTCCTGCCCTGACCTAGGGCTTTTTTGGACGCGGACAGTACGTGCTCTAGCGTCTGTTTAGCGCTTCATAGCGGACGTCAGCACGTTAGCCGCACTCCACATTACCATGTTAACACCGGACTTTAATACATCGTAGGCAGTCGCAGCGAGGCCATTCGCCAGATCTCACCCCCATGTGAGTATTCGTGGCAAAGCGCTCTCTAGTCCGATCCGCTCGCCTTGCTGCGACTGTTGAGCGGCTTTCTAGACTCGAACCTCGTTTTTGGTGTACCTAATCTGCTGCATCAACATGTCTTGGCGCTCTTTGGCTGTGGCTTTGGACCACCAACTGACTTTCCCGTGCCCTAGGCCTCGACGGTCGGTTTGAGTGTAACCTATCACCTCTTAATTTCAGTGCATGCTGGGCAGATTCGATAGCATCTAGGACCTTCCATTTCAGGCCTGTCTTTAGAGCGGGCTGGACAGCAGCGACAGTGGGGTCTGAAGACTCACGAAACAACATGGCGAGTCTTACTTTTGACTTTAAACTCTTCGATTATTGATTTGAACGGGAGTACCAGCTTCGTCTGTTAACAATACAGAGCCACATCAGTCAGACAAGGCGGTGCAGCGGCCAGCGGAGCTTTGGAATCAACATAAATTGGAGACACCAGACCGTTAACTTTCTGATCAGCCTACTTCCCTCGATCACGAGCAGGCCTGTAGCCAGTGACGCGTGTATTCGCCGGACCTCCGCTCTATCAGATAACTTCGAATCGTAAACGCGACCAATTCTTTTCACCGGTTCCTCTAGAACCGTGGGAATCCGATTCCTTGCCACCGTAAAACTGATCGCCGCCACCTTATCTTTCAGGATTGACAGACTACTCGACTTCTGCGGTTTGAATTGCACAATGCTCCACTGGACCACCTCATCGAATCTTTTCAGAATCGTGCTGGCAGATTCCTAACTGCCCGTGATTATAGCCGTGTCATCCATAAAAGCATATAGTGGCTGCATCCAGTGGTCCCCAATCTGAAGGCCCTGTCCGTAGCCGGCCGCCCTGTCCAACATGACCTGCATGGCCATACCGAACAGTATTGGCGAGATCGTACACCCCATAGCTATCCCAACTTGGAGCTAAGTCCATCTCGTAGTAAACGTCGAGGTAGAGAAGCGCAAAGCGAAGGGCCTGTCCCATAGGCGTTGGCGAGGTCCAGCCATATCACGTGCAACTGAGTTCTCTCATGCTTGGCTCTCTGAATAAACTCCCAGATCATGGTCGATTGTTCAAGGCGCCCAGGGACGCCCGGGATTCCACCTTTCTGGACACTCGTATCGATGTATTTGTTCGCCATCAAATACTGTGTGAGCCGGCGAGCCATAACCGAGAATAATATTTTGCCCTCAACATTCAACAGCGAAATAGGCCTGACTAGGGAAAGACTCTTCGAGTCTTGCTCTTTGGGAATGTAGACCCCGTTGGCCCGTTGCCATTCGGAACATATGTGACTTCGGCTCAACGCTAGTCTCAGCAAGCGGTGAAGCATTCGTAGGACTTTTGGAAAACGCTTGTACAGGATGTACGAAACACCGTTCGGACCTGGGGCGGACTTGCCGCTAGCTCTTTTCACAACTTCCTCGACCTCAGACCAAGAGGGAGGTATCATTTAATGATACCGTCGGCAACTCAGGCCGCTACGGATCTTTGGATTGTCATCGAGAGGCTCATTCCTTTTCTTGTCTGAGTACATTTTGCGTAAATGTGACTCGAGCTTCTCTTTACTGACCACCAGAGTTCTCGACTTCGGTTGCTCGAATAGACCTCGGGCAAACTGGAACGGGTCTCTAAAGAATTTCTCTCGCTCCCTTTTGGTTCTCAGTCTGTTATTACAGAAACGCTCAACGCGACAGTGGGCACTGTGTCTGGCTCAGGTGCAACCAGACCTAATGCAGCCCCTCCGGTTCGCTGCATGTAGCGGCTTTGAGCCGTTTTCTGAGTGCGTTTCTGTCTACCCTGCACTTTAGAATGTCTCCTGCTTGTATTTTGCTTGACGCCCTGATGCGCATTCTCGACTGTCCCGAACTCGCGGGAACAGTGCTCGTATATTATATTACCAAACCCAGTAAATTACGACTTTTTCTTTAAATCAAGATTTAATTTCTCACATAGTGTACCTTCCAGCTTACACCACACCACCTTGTCGCTCGCAGGTGGACACCTGATCTTTGAACGCACTTCTTCAGGGATCATCAAATATATGCCTCAGCAGTCGACGTCACGGGCCTCTTCAAGAGAGTGGGGTATACCTGCCTATTCACCAGATCTTACCCCATGCGTGTATTTGTGGCAAGGCGCTCTCAAAGCCACTGACCTTGCTGCGACTGTTGTGTGGCTTTCTGGACTCGATTTTCGTTATCCGTGTCCTTTATCTGCTGTATTACCATGTCTCTGCGTTATTTGGCCAAGGCTTTGGACCACTAAGTGAATTTTCCACGTCGGTCGGTTTGTCGGTAATCCATGACGTCCTTCAATTTCAGTACTTTCTTAGCAGATTCTATTGCATCATGGACCTTTCATTTTGTACCTGTCTTTAGAGCGGGCTGGAAGCTTGCCATTGTGGAGTCTTTTCTTGCCGGTTTTTAACTCTTCGGTTGTGGATTTGAGCGGAAATACCAACTTAGCTTGCTTGCAATAGAGAGCCAAATCGGTCAGACAAGTAAATACAGTAAAACACGATGATCAAATTTGAAAACAAACATTGTTTTTACTGTAACTTGATTTTAACTGTGATACCATCAGGAATCCTTTCTGGTCTTTTATATCGTAGTCGTTCACCACTTGTAGAGGGTTTGGGGTCACTAGTTTTTGATGACAGCCAGTTGTTGGTGACCATATTTAATTTTGTGTGTGTGTGTGTGTGTGTGTGTGTGTGTGTGTGTGTGTGTGTGTGTGTGTGTGTGTCTAAAACGTTCGATAATGTTATTATTGAGTAATAACGTACCTGTTAACTAGGGCTCTCTCAACATTACCAAACGATCTTAAATTGTAGCGGTGCTAAACCTTAGAGCTTCCATCTGTTACTCTCAGGAAGAAATGTCTTCTGCTATTTATTCATTCTGTTGCTGGTGAAGGTGCTGAGGCTCTTGTCAGCTCAGTCTGTAATCAGCACGTACCGTATGTTCAGTTTTAAAGCCAGCGTTCATGTTCCGAAACAAAGTCTATTTGATTTTCTTATGGATTTTGAGAAGTTCGAGTTTTAAGACAGTGGATTTCTATATATCCGCCTCCATTTTTAATCTCAAAATGTTTATGATTAGTATGACAGTGCACTAAAGATCACATTATTTATGTCAGAAATTGGTACCAGAAGTAAATGATATTAGACCACAAACGAAAACACTAATACCTAAGAAAAAGAGCACGCAAATCAGTTAAATTTAGAATCCAAAATGTCAATAAAAGTTAACTTTAAACAGTTATTAGAAGATTACTTCCTGAACCATTTAGGATGAGTATGCATATAATACACTACCTGGGAAAAATATTGGTGTTCATTAATGTAGATTACTACGTGCCTTTTAAAATCTGTTTTCAATTATCGTTATTATATTAAAATTTATTCCGCACTCTGTATTTTGCTTGTAGGAGACCACTGGGACCCAGAGTGCTTTAACTTTAAGCAATGTTTCCGGAATTTTCCATATATTGATTGGGGGATTGGTTCTTTCGATGATTACGTCATCTCTCGAGTACTTCATACACAGAAAATGCAGTGTCTGGAAAAGAAACATTTCACAAAAAGTAAGTAACTTTCTTAGCAAACACGTTATATCTTTCGGGCATCTTATATGGTGATTACAGACGGGTATAAGATAGTGTTGTCACCCTTTACTAAAAGAAAAACGTTGCTGGTACGTGGGAATGAATGATAAGGTATTGAGGTAAATTTGTGTAAACAAATTTCGAAGAACCGTGTTAAGTAGAGGGCAATTTCAGAAAGGAAATTGTAATAACGGTAAAACAATGATGTAGATAGTTTGAGAGCTGAGAGTTTAATAATCACATTAGGTGGTGGAAAGAACGGTTCTGTCATCCAGGGCTCTAATTGTGGAAAACATCTCCCAACACGGGCGATTCTTGCTAGTCAAACTCGCAATCGCCATGGGTTATGATTCCAAGGCATCACTAGTGCAAAATTGAGCACTATCGTCTAGAAAGTCGGAAAAATGTCACGTAAAATATTTTTTTTTGAGTCCTATGTTATGGTTTTATTGCACGTATGTGTATGGTATTTGAAAGAAGCTTAAATAAAGTCCATTACATCATCTTGAAGAAAACTATTTTCACCAACGTTTTTGTAAAAGCTAAGGATTTTTTTTTTTAATGACGTGAAGCCTATTCTGAGTACAATGCCTCCTGGTAATTGAAAATCAAATGACAACTCTAATGGGGTTGTTGTGAAAATCATATTAATCTTTTCTTTTTTTTTAAAGTCGGCTTCTGTGTCTTATGCGTTGAGAACGCAGTTCGTAATGCCGATGAGCTTATTTAGATCCTAGCTGCTGGCAATTTGCCTTGGTTTCGACTGTGGTACCGAAAGTCGACGGTTAAGATGAAGGGCAAACACTGAGTGTAAATATGTCTACAAAAACAGGACAAGCGAAAAATAAATGCTGGAAGTAGATCTGAAAGGTGATGTAAAAGACTGAGCGAATGAACGAATCAAGAATCGACATCAGTACACTTGGGACATTCCCATACGTGCTCCGTCCTTGTCTTCAGTTACCAACGAAGAGTTGACATGCAAATAGTACTAGTTGCAACCTGATTAAAAGTCCCCTTCTGTTTCCTCTTTAATATTGAATATCTTCCAGAAACTCTAATCACCCCGTTGAATTAGTTTTTTCAGTGTACGGATTCCCTGTCTATTCTTTTGCACTGTTCATTTGATCCCATAGAGCCTTCACCACATCCACTTTATCACATAGTAGCTTTAAAGCATACGCAACTAACTTTCAGAAAGTTACGGTAACGTAATCGTATTGCCCTGTTCTGAAGAAACAAGAGAGTTGAAAGATTTTTGAGACAAGTCTCTTTCATCGTGGACACGTTCGGCTGTCACTGTTTATAATGTCTCCGTTTTAATTTTACTGTCTAATTACTTGACCGGACTGTTACACAGAAAACAATGTCCCTTTAAAGTCTTGAACGCTAAATTTTTAGTTAAAAGGTTAGTTGCGTATCCTTTACATGACGTTGCAGAACCAACCTCAACAGCTCCTGGCTGTTGTGTGGTTTTTCTAGGCAAATTTACGCCCACTAGTTTGCCTCAAGAAAGAGAATATGAGCTTTTGAGCTGAAATGCTATAGAAAGATTCTCAGAATATCTTGGACAAAGAAGATGAGAAATATTGACGTCTTGAAAGATTCGAACATCAAGTAAGATTGGCTAATTAACAGCATCCTTTCTCGAAAGCTGAAATATTTGGTCATATCAAGCGCCACGACGGATTGGAAAAAAATTATAGCGGAAGGAATGGTACCAGGAAGGAGGGGCAGGGGATGACCGACATGAAGATGGGCACAGGATGTAAGTGACTCCTTGAGTGTGAAAGTGCATGAGGCGGGAGAACTGGCGAGAGACCGAGTTTCTTTCAGGCAGACTGTGATAAGAGCGACGTTCTGCAAAGGACCTGCTACATGATAATGATGAGTTTGCCATTGCTTTCTGGGCGGTCGGCTTTCTTGATATCACCGTCGAAACCAAAGTAAGGCTCATGGCCCGCAGCTGAAATTTTTAGTATAAACCTAAAAATTAATTACAGCAACACCAGTGTTATTCTCGGGGCCAAAAAGTTAGTGTAGGTAACAGCTATGTTTTTATATATTAGTATTATTCGAGCTGTCGTTTTTTCATTTGTTAATTATTAATTCAGATGAAATCGTCGTCAGTAACTCCCATGTTGTGTTTGTAGCAGCCATATACAAACCACAACTCTAATATTTGTTTTTGTGTAATGATAGCAAAAATTAAATTACTGTATGTACGTTGTATATATATATATATATATATATATATATATATATATATATATATATATATATATATATATATGTTAGTTCTTTCTGTTGTAATATCCTTTCTGTGTTGTCAAACTTGTACACACTCCCTTGGTCTGCATTGCCTATATTAAGCAATATTGTCAGGACACTACAACCTGAACTACCTATAATAGGTCTATTACGATTATGCTAATTAACTAAAAATACTTGACAACAGTTTCACCACAAGAGATCATCCTGAAACAACACATAAAAATCCCCTGACAAACAGATTGTTTTACATTTTTCTATTTAAGGGCATACTTGATCGTCACCTTGACTCCGATGACCCATACATTTTAACCAGCAAGACAACAATACTAATTACCACAATTAGTAGTCCGGGTAACTGATGTGTATACAAACACACAAGCACGCGAGCACACACACACACACACACACACACACACACACACACACACTGGCGCGCGCACACCACACTCAAAGGAAACACTACACCCTAAATCCCATAATAACAGCCAAATATTTCTCTGACCAAAATGTTCCTCAATTTGTTTAGACAAATTGTCTAGCACTATTTGCTTAGCCCCGCAGGGGCCCAGTAACATATGCCTAGCCCATACTAACACCATATGACTTGTCTGTTCTTTACCTTTTGACCCCAAGCCATCGATTTCCATGTTTCCTCGCACATTTTTTAAGAACCACTCTGCATCTAGCGGCGTCCGTGGCTAAGGCGTTGCCAGTCCGACTCGTAATCCAACGTACCGCGATCGAAACCCACTGCGTGCTGCGTGGATTTTTATCGTGGTATAAAACATCGCAGGTCGACCCAGCCTCAAATGGGTTCCAGGATGGCTGTCCTGGGGAAGTTAAGAAGGCCGGCGTAATGCTGACCACATTACCCATCGAGTGCCGATTGGTCTGTAAAAATATGGGTGCTCTTCCCGTATGGCCAATGCGCCTAAATGCGTGAACATGGAACTTCACTATACTTTACTTTATTTACTCTGCATCTATTTAGGACCTGCTATTTATGACATAGGGCAAGGCGGGTTTCAGGGTGGGATCTGAAATCCTTATAAAATAGCTCATATGCTCAGAGACGTCGTTGCGCTATAACCCCTTTCCTCGGTTAGATGGAACCCGTTAGCTTTGAACAGCATTATGTCTATAAAACGGCAAACTCCGAATATCAACCCCCAAATTCAAGGTGGGCCAACGTGCTGAGCAGCTGGATGGCCACTGGTGAGCTGGTCGTGAACGTAGGACGCCTGGCAGGCGTGCCGGGTGTCACCAGGCGTATGCACTCCTACGGGACATCCATTGCCCCTTCCCTAGCAGGCATGCAATACTAGGGTGACCGGTCATTTCCTGCAGTAAGTACTCTAATTTTTCGCTTATGGATTTAAAAAAATATACATAGGAATCGTCGCCGGAGCTACGGAGCACGTGCTCTGCACTTGACACATTTTTCAGCAGTTCGTGAAGAGAGAGTGAAGAGGAGACGACGAGGGAATGGGGAGAGAAGAAGGAATAGAAATAGGAGGGCAGGTGCTAGGAGAACAGACGAAAAGTGGAGAGATTGAGCTTTAATCATGTAAGAGTAGGATACTGGAACTGTCGGAGTGCTAGGCAGAGAGGTCCTGTACTGGAGAGGTTGATTTTTGATTTTTATGTCATCATGCTCCAGGAACTAAATACAGAAAGATATCATTGCCCTGGGTACGTCAGTTATGTAAACCTTGTTGGACAGGAGAGACATGGACAAGGTCTGGTGGTGAAGCATGTGGTGCTAGACTTGAGCCAGTGGAACCACAGAGGAAGGGAGGTTTGAGGGATACAGATTGAGACCGGTGGCTTAAATTGGAACCTCATAAATATACATGCCACGGTTTACTGTTTTGTCAGAAGTGAACAATGGGGCTTGCTCAAATAAATGGAGGAGTTACCAGGTGATAAGTTTCTCATATGTGGGGATTTCAGCGCGATATGTAAATGATATTGGAAGCGATTAACATTAAAGACATTTTGGAGACTGCAAAGGCATATGCAAAGAAAAGATCGGCCTATGACAGTCGTAAAAATTTGTAGAGACGATGGTGTGCGTATGACAACAGACAAGGAGAAAGGGGAGGCTTTTCTTCATAGGTTTATAGCTCAGATACATCATAATGATGTAGACATCAGGGATGCAGTTAGAAAGAAGTTAGCTGGCACCTTGAAGAATATGCGTTATGAAGACATGATACAAGTGGAAGATATCAAACAAATTTAAAAACACAAAAAAAAAGCAAAACACAATCCACCAGAATCTGATGAAATCAGGTATGGTCACATGAAGGCTTTGGGCGACGTAGACCCTGCAGAGATGACCGGCTGTTTTAACCAAAGCATTAAGACAGCATCAGTACCACAGGACTGGGTGCACAGCTATCTAATCCCACTACCAAACCTTTTAAAGATCATTCTAAGCTCAGTGGCTTTAGAATCATCACCTTACAAAACACATTTGGAGAAGATAGTTGCTGTAAGGCTGGAAGAATTTTTGGAAAGGGGAAAGCTTCTCCCAAGAGGTCTGGAAAGCTACAGGCCAGAAAAGGACACATGGGCAAATGCGGCCACTTTCGCTTTTGACGTCTATGAAGGGTTCCAGAGCAGACAGGAAACTATGGTGGTAGGAGTGGATCTCGAGGATGCTTATAACAGAGCGAGATACGACATCTTAATGACTGCACTAAGGGAGAAGGAGGTCAGTCCATGTCTGGTGAATTAGGTTGCAGCTGTCCTGTATTCACGTCGGGTTACTCCCTGACTGGGCTCATGGACCTCAGAACCATGCAATTTGGCTCTAGGAGTGCCATAGGGATCCGCCATCTCGCCTGTACTCTTTAACGTGTATACAAGAAGCAAGCCTATAAGCACCAGGAGTTGGAAGGATACTGACTTTTGCGGATGGAATACTTGCATGTAGGCAGGAGGAAGAGAGGGAACAAACAGCCCGGGAGTTACAAGTGACAGTAGACAAAGTGACTCAGAGGTGTACAGCAATGAGGTCTGTCGTCAACCCGGAAAAGGCGTCTGTTTTGTGGTGTACTCTGGACAACAAAATCGTTAAAGCGAATGTCCCAAGTCTCACGATAGATGGTAGAGACGTCAACAGAGAGAGAGAGCAAACTGAAGTATCTGGGAATTACATTTGACAGGAGCCTGTCCTCTAAGGACCATGTGGAGAGTGTTATGACAAAATGCCAAAAAAGACTTAGTGCACTTAAGACTGGCTGCAGTTGACATAAAGCAGATAATTCTTTTCGCACTATACCAGCACCTGATCCTGTCAGTGGTTGATTATGGCCTGGGACTGCTTACCGTCTCAAAGAGTCAGATGGACAAACTAGAGCGCAAAACAGAACGCGACTATGCGGGTCATTCTGGGTTGCACCAGAGACACCCCAGTGGTGTGTATGCGATACATACTTGGTTTGCCGACAGTTGCAGGTAGGCATAAGGTGCTGCAGGCGGAGTCATATCTCAGGGTAGCTGCAGACACAGCCCACCCTCTGCATGAAGCTCTGGGTGTTGTTAAGGGTCAGCGGCTGATAAGAGGGAGGTCATGGATGGCTCAGGAAGAAGACACAGTCAGACAGGTTTGCATCCTTGAGAACATTAGACGAGGAGAGGAGTGTGTCAAAGTGCCACCTGAGCAGTCAGACTTGTAGAGTCATAATCACCCTGAACCGGGAATGCAGAGACTGGTCAGCAGGTGCCACAGAGGTGGAAATTCAGCAATTAATGCAAGATAATGCTCGCTCAGAGGATTTGATCATTTACACAGACGGTTCAGTGTCAAGAGGCAAAAGAAGTGCTTGGGGCTTCTTAGCAAAAGTTAATGGTCGACGTTTGATGCAGGAGAGCCTAGCATATGATACCACAACATCCAGTTTAAGAATGGAGGTGGAGGCGGTCACTGCAGCGCTCCGCTTGCTAGAGAACACGACACACACACACACACACACATCGTGATTGCAACTGATTCAGAAAGCATGCTTAGGAAGATCAGAAAAGGTATGCTTCGTGCAGAGTGGCATGCTTCCTAGAGTGAGGAGTATTGTCTGGATTTTTTCACCAGGTCACGCCGGTGTGTTGGGAAATAAACAGGCGGACAGACTGGCTGGCTCTGCACAACTTGGTGGAATACTGACACATGATAGGGCAGACGTGGTTAGTGCCTTGTGGGAGAGTGTGTAAAATTCGGATCACCAGATGGATCACCACAGTCTGGTGAGATTGATGCAGTTGGGGGTGACGAGAGGTTCTGGCAGAGGCTCGGGGCTCAGAGGAAAGGCAAGACGGACGTTTAATCAGAAAGCTACTGCCACCATTAGTATCGGAACTCTTCGCTGGCTGCTGAAGATGGGGACGGAGCGCTTATGGGAATGCCCAGAGTGCTGTGATGTCGGTTCTTGAATCAAATCAAATCAAATCATAATGCTTGAATAAAGAAAAGGAAAAATCTTATGAACATTTATTGAAGCATACAGGCATGAAATAAAGAAAAATTAATTATCTTTCTTGTCAGTTAGTTAGTTAGTTAGTCGTTACGGTTCCGGCATCACATCAAACGAGCGTGGTCCATAATTGCTCAACCGCCTATGCCAGTGATTCCAGTCACAAACTAAGTCAGATACCTTCGATACTTCAAGTGAATGCCGTAGCCATACAAAGTGTCCTCAGTCAGCAAAACACACATGGTTTGATCTGGAAAACCACAGAGTGCATGCCTTCTTAAACACTCTGCGAGACCAGACGTCACCGCTGAAAATCAACTTCATTCGACGAATAGCTGGGCGATGGGTAGATTAAAACTATTCCACATCTCCTTGGCCAAGCTGCAGTCACGGCCAGCAAATAAATAGCAGTTATAACACACGCCTTGTCCCAGAAACACAACGAAAAAAATACATCACCAATCACTGCCATTATGTACGAATCTCAAACTCAGTCAATACCCGATAATCACAGCTCATAGTGCCGCCAGGAGGACTAAACTCAGTAGCTCCGGCTGCAAACCGGACTCCCATAATCTTGCAACATTGAAACTGGAGGATAAACGGCGACGAGAACGGTCAACATAAGCCAAGTTCTCAACCGTCAACCATTCCCTATGAATTTTGGAACGGGAATTATGTTTCTACTTTTTCATTACATCACAAATTTGACAAAATCATTAGCGATTACATTGTATTACACTGTCGATATTTCAGCGTTACGACTTGCCAGTTCCACCGCCACCCCCACCATCTCGAAGTGCTTGTTCCAGTTCTAAGAGTAAATTCCCTGATACTGGTCTAGCATGGGAAAATGGTTTTGTAAGTATTATGCGCACTAATGTGTCGGAAAAAAGTGTTTGAAAAAAATCAAACCAATGCTTCTTCCTTGTAAATTTGAGTAAAGAAGACAAAACAGTAGATTGCATCATTTATTTCCTATCATATTTCGCTGAATCTTGATGTGTGCCTATTCACTATAGTAGTAATTTTTTTAAATGGATAAAATAAATGAATCCTTCTAAGTGAAACACAGTCTACTACATTCATAAGTAACTGCCTGTTTCACCAGCGTAACTAAAAGTTAATGACTATGTTCTTTTCTCCGCATAATACTGGACTGGAGCGGTTGATAGTCATTGCTTCCATGAATGCCAGTAGCTTGCGTTTGGCTGAAGTACAAATTGAAAGTGCATTGTCCTTGTTAAAAATGTGCTCGGAGTTAAAAAGGTGGCGTGCAACGAATGACATGTGATCTTTTGGACCAGTCACCCCATTCGCTGTTATTGAGTCGTCGTCGTTCTTAGTAATCTACATTGTTTATTACCATCCATGGTGGAATATGTTCGACAACCCGTTACTCAAACGCTGACCAGTTCGATCCACACATGCAGAATTACAAATGCATTTAAATTAACAAATACAATCAGATTTGGCGTACGTCGACACTGGTTTCGCTAGATTTATAGTAGTTTTGAATCTCATCACAGGCACACCTGCATAGAAAGTCATACTGAATGATTTTCCGAGATAGTCACACACACACACACACACACACACACACACACACACACACACACACACACACACATACACACACACACCTACCATCCCACACACACACACGCACACAAACAACTTTGCATGAGTATCTCTTCTTCTTTTTCTTCTTCCTATTCTTCTTTCTCTGGTTCCTTTTCTTCTTGTTCTTGTTCTTGTTCTTGTTCTTGTTCTTGTTCTTGTTCTTGTTCTTGTTCTTCTTCTTCTTCTTCTTCTTCTTCTTCTTCTTCTTCTTCTTCTTCTTCTTTTTCTTCATCTTCTGCTTCTTCTTCTTCTTCTTTGTCTTCTTCTTTCTTCTTCTTCTTCTTCTTTTTCTTTTTCTTCCTTTTTGCGTTCACAGGCTGTAAACAGTTTTACAGATCTGACTAATGTGTATGTAGACTGTTTTTTTCTTACCTCTGGGGCAGATGCACTCGGACTTTGATGGAAGCTTCCAGCTAGTCTACTCTTATTATCTGCTTTGGGAGGCAGTCTTTTCTTGTTGTTCCCTTCAGCGGGGCCGGGAACCCACACAGTGATTTAACTTATTTTTTTAAGAAGCGACATTATAACATTCGTTACATATCCATAAGCGCCTCGACCCATCTTCAGCAGCAAGTGAAGAGTTCCAACTCTAATGGTACCCATAATAGTCTGATTGTGTGAAGTGTCGACTAGAACCCCCAGTCAGCGCTGTACCATTCTTTTCAGACCATGATAACCTAAGTGTGCCTTGGAGCGTTCACTCCCTCCCAAAGAGCCTTAACACCATCTAGTTTGTCATTCACAAATTTACCACCAAGTGGTCCAGATCCAGCAAGTATATCCACCTGTTTGTTTCCTAACACACAAGCATGCCCTCTAGAAAACAGCCTACGGATTCTAAGTACCCTGGACTTCTGAAGCGATGCATGCCACTCTGCACAAAGTATCCTGTCTCCACTTTTTTCAGCATGCTTTGCGACTCAGATATAATTGCGGCATGTCTGTGCAGTTTATTCTCAAGCCAATGCAGTATGCGCCTCAACTTCCATTCTCAGACTAGATGTTGTGATATCATATGCAAAGCTTTGTTGTGCTGAGGGTCGTCCATTACCTTTGGCTGTGAACCACCATGAATTTCTTCTACATGTCAACACAGATCCAATAGTATAGATAATCACATCACCAAAGCATAAAAGACTTGAATAATTTGTTGTAATTTTGATTTTGCAGCACCTGGTGGTCAGTTCCTACACTCCCGACCCAGTGGGCTTAGAACCGTACAAATGTCTGCCACTCTGATTCACTCATCTCCTTGTCGCTGTGTGGCGTTGGTAGTCATGTTTATCCGTAACCGTCTGTCTCGTGTACTTTCAATCAACAGGGACACAGATGATCTTCCAAGCCGTCCAACTTTTTTACTGCTATCATGTACTCTAGTTTTCTCCGTCTCATCAGATGACCACAGAATGTAGATCGTCGCTTTCTGATGTGGACAATCAGTTCTCTCAGTGAGTCTGTTTCTTTCAAGAAATCATCATTACTATTTTTATCTGTCCAGGGTATTCTCACGATCTGTTTATAACATCACATCTTCGGAGCTTCAAGAAATGTTTTCACTAAATTACTCCGTAATTCACATCCGTATATCAAAATAGGATTTATATAGTTTTTTAACATTCTCTTTCTTGTCTCAATTGATAAAGAAAGACTGCATAAAATATTCTTTATTTTGTAAAATGCTGCCTTAGCCTGAGCTATTCGACATTTAACTTCTTTAATAAATCTTCCATCTGATGTTATCAGGGCACCAAAGTATTCAAACATATCAGCTTGTGTGATGTTTGTCCTATTTACTTTAATGTTGCATTTTGGAGGGTACGTTTTCTTTGTAATTACCATTACATCTGTTTTTCTGCCTTCAAACTAAGACCCTTGTTTTCACTTTCCCTTATAATTATATCCATCATTCCTTGCATTTGTGTTTCATTTTCAGCCATCAAACAAACTATTTCGTCAGCATATCACAGGTTGTTAACAATATGCCCACTAACCGATAATAATGGCATAACCTGAATGGATATATAATTATTATTTCACTGTGCAAATTGAATAAATGGTAAACATCCCACTTTCCACTGCACCAGGTGTTTTTGGTAAAGGTATGAAAAGAGAAGGTCATAAGGTCTAAACTTCTAAACCGAGCTCTTTATATGGTTTATAGAATCTTTTACTTCTGCTTTTATTATTGGCAGTCCTTCCAAATACTCGTGACTCTCTATGTCTGGTGCACTGTTATCATCGTACAGATCTTTATTATACTCTCTTCATCTTTCAATTACTTTCTCTTTGTCCATTAATGTTTCACTTTCTTTTGCTTTCAAGAAACTACTTGATGCATAATTTCTAAAACCTGATGGTTCTTGTATTCTCATTTATATGTCTTGTGTGTCCTTTCTTTGTTCATAAATTTCCTTGCACTGATTATAAGGCCATACTTCTTTCACTGCATTATATTTGAGTACAATCACTCTATGTATTCCGTTATATTCATCTTGGTTGTGTTTATTTTTATTTTTTTTATAATTTCCATCAGATGTAAAATTTTATTTGTCATCCATTTTTCTTTACTGTCTCTTTACTTCTGGTAATATTTCTTTTGATGTCTCTAGTAATGAATTTTTTTAGCATTAGCCATTGTTCACTTATACTACTTATCTTTTAATATCATTGAATATTATCCGAATAGTAATGGTGTATTTCTTACTCGTTTCTTGATGTGATGCAAGCACTTCCAAATCTAGCTAAGTATTTCATGGAGCCCTTTTTAGTTTCTTCAGCTTAATCTTAGTTTTCCTATTACTAGCACATGGTCTCTATTTCAGTCTGTACCTGGTCGTGTTTTTACTGACAGAAAACTGTTTTGCAGATCTCTGTTGTTATTACTTTTACAAGACCCATTAATAGATTCACGAACATATTTAAGCAGCATCGACATGAAATGTCAGAGGAAACCTGGAAACTTCTGCGGCATTCAGCTGTTTGTACACTAAAGCTTCTTGCTAAATATTTAATGGAAAGTGGGTACCCTTTGGACTATGCATACTTAAGAGGTGTATTACGAAGACGAATCCAATTCCAATACAGTAATAGACATTTATTGAACTTTGAGTTATTATCAATAATAATATCCCATCCTAAGGATGTTTATCAAGTTAAAGAAACAATGCGATTATTGAGGAACTCAGTGCTTTACAAACAACAATGCTCAACCGGAGGACTCATTGATCTAGCCTCATTTTGGAAATCAATAGGTGATTTTCTTTTCAGGTCAGGTATACTTGTGCACCATCTGACAGTAGTCACAAAGTTTGGTTGGGGATTGTGAACCTACAATGAGGAAATTAGGAATGGGACACAGTGGGCAGGGTTGATGAGTTGAGCTGATGTCTAGAAGATCCACTCAGTGCATAGACATGGTTGTCTGTTTGTAATTGATGATTTTTTTCCGTGATCTTTTCTTCTAAAGTTTATTTATGCTTTACTTCAACTTAAACTATTAAAGTTAATTATGTTGATTTAAACTTTCTCTCTTCACATACTATTTTTTAGAGTTTCCTTGTTGGTTAAATTTAGTAATAGAGGTATTACTTTCATATTAATTTGTGTCCTTTGTTTTGAATTCTTAGGAAGCATACATGAGGGCATTATTTCAGTAGTAAGGAAGTGCGGCTGGCCTGATACAACAATACTCAGGAGACGGTCTTGTCTCTGTTACACCAGCACTTAGTGACAGGTTTCCTGGAAGGTTAGATCGGTGGCTTTCCCTTGAATATATGGCAAGACCACCACGTGCCATTTGAATTTACTGTAAGAACCCCCCCCCCCCCCCCCCCACACACACTAGTCCCTCTACCACGCCCGCATCCCTATTGAGAATATAAGACTAACTCGCTGCCCCTTTCCAAAAATAACAGTATGTGTTTAAAAAGACAAGAACAGTACATTCCGCAACAAGGAAAAAAGAAAGTATAGCGTACGTTCTGGTCAGAATGTGTTCTTAATCTATAATAAAATGCGCAGGTTATCATTAAAAAAAAAAAAAATTTTTTTTTACATCTTCATGTTTAATAAATAGTTTAATGGGTTATTACAAATACAGATGCTCTCACTTTCAAAATAGATTCACGTTACCCTTGAAGCCTCCTTTCGTCCACAGTGGGGTGCTCACCTGAGGTTAAAGACCAGTCAGTTAGATGGACGAAAACAACAAACAGGCCGGATCAGTTTACACCAAAATAATTCAAATACACATGAACAACTCAGCGTCATTAAAACATGAAACTAGCAACGCTCTAGCCTTTTTAGACAATTTTTTTTTGGTTGTGGGGGGGGGGGGAATAGGGATAATTGCACAATTGAAAGGTCACTTCACAATCGTAAAGACACATGAACAGGCCAGTATTTCCTGGTTACCAGTCTTGCATCTACGCAGTCTAGTGCAAACATTATTTAATTGCGCCAGAAAAATGTCTTCTAGCGATGCGCTACAAACATGATTTAAAACATTTAACACTGCTTTCTAACTGATATCCCGTTATTTTTTCTGAGCGCGACTGTCAGCCGTCTGAACCAGTTACCATATAAATATTGGGCCATCTAACTTTTAATAGAAATAACGTTATGCTACGTTCATAGGACCCTCATACAACTGCAGTCAATCTGCATGTGATCAGATTTACAATTAACAATAATTCCAACGCCACCAGTGAAAAATATCAGTGTCGACGTACACCAAATCTTATTGTATTTAGCAATTTAAATGCATCTGTATTGTAACTTATGTGAGCCGAACAGGAGAAACAGGTCGCCGAACGCATTCTACTATGGGTGCTAAAAGCAATGCAAAAACAAGAACAAGTAAAGCATGCAAATCAGGGGTCACCCGATAATCGGTAGAAAGGTACCTCGTCGACGATTGTTTCGGCCCCTTAACTTCCTAGACAATCTCAGTAGGCCGGCCAAACTGGTTCATGATGCCAGGCCTCAGACATCCCCTTTATCAGACACTTTATCGGACGTTCAGACAGGGACAAAACGAAATTGTAACTTTGCAACAGGTATTGTGAGATCTGGTGTTATATATTGTCGCTGCGGACAGATTTTAGACTTTGGCAAATGGCAGAGAGACACTGGCAGACGTTTTCATCAGAGAAATTGATCTAAAGTTCTTTTGCACCAGGGACTCTGGGACTGGTCTACTGAGGCCCATTCCCCACGACAGCCAGCTCTAAGATCTTTCCGCAGCTTCGCCCAGTTGTTTTCCCTCCCGTTTACGCTCTTTTCCTAGCAAACCCAGCTGCTTTTGTACATTGCATGTGGAAGTTTAAATAAGTACTCTTGCGAAGATTTTTACTATGGACGCCTCATCTTTCATCAGACCGGCCACCAGATCAACGTACTTTTCCAGCTAGTACAGGTGATTTTCTTCCATCCGCGACTCGTACGGTACGCTAAGCTAAGTCAGGATAAGCTGGAGTTTTTCCACAGAGTGTAACACCATGTCTGGTCTCAGGTCGGCCAGACAACAATGACTCATAAACAACGAATCAAGTGGCTGGTCGAAAAGTTTCCCTTTGTCAATTGCGTACCATCTTTAACATTTTTTGCACATTGTAAATAAGGACGATACATTTCGAATTAGATATACCTCAGCCAACTGGTCTGGTCCAGAATTATGCAGATTAAAGGACATTGTCGTCAACCTGCAGTTACCCTCGCGAAACAGGCAGTTACTTGTGAATGTAGTTGATTTAGTGTTTCACTTAGAAGAATTTATTTATTTAATTCATTTTGATAAATTGTTGCTGTAGTTAGTATGCACATGCCGAGATAAAGCGAAATATGCCAGGCAAAAAATTTTGCTATCTATTATTTGTATCTTCTTCTTTAGAAAATTGTATTATTTTCTGTTAGGGATCATTATATAAATAAACGTCCATTTCACTCCGGTTTATTTTTGATTATATTTAATATATGAATTGTTTTTGAGACACCACGAAACATCATATAACAATAATCTGGTACACACAAGAGAGAGAGAGAGAGAGAGAGAGAGAGAGAGAGAGAGAGAGAGAGAGAGAGAGAGAGAGAGAAAGAGAGAGAGAGAGAGCTGGTAGTAATTCGACTAGTGTTCTTGTTTACATGTAGAATTATCTGTGTTTCCACTGTCGAAAAAAAAATCCTGTCAGTCTACCCACGGATCTGATGGTCCTGGAGGTCAAGCAAGTCTTGCTTGTTGGATATTTAATGTATTTCCAGGTGTCAACGATTAGAGGTGGTCCTCCATCTTTATTATTGTGGTAGTTCGTATTGTAACATTTCAAACTATACAGTTCTCTGTCGTGATGTTTTCTCAGTATACGCATATTGTCATATCTATATCCATCTACATGGTGTGATGTATGTTTGATACGTGATCTGGTAGTGTTCTTAGATGAGATAAACACTACAAAACAGAATGTTATTAATGTATATTTTTTCCCTTAATAGACGTCTGATTTAGGGCCGTCTAATGAACAAGAGAACCTCATGCCTGGCGACTCTGAAGAAAACAAAAGGGAGATGTCATGACGTAAACTGAAACAAGCTGGGTTAATCTGCTGGCTATATGATACCATGTCTTAAACTAATTAATGATGTCATTAGTACTTTTCATCAAGGCGTCACTTGCAGTGTAAACATCATTAAAATTCTTTTTTAAAAAAATGTCAACTGCTTCTGCGTGTTACTCAGCGGTAATTTAGGAAAACTAGACATTGATTTCTAGGACTACTATAGCAAATTCTGAATGTAGATTAGAACCATTTAGCAAAATACACAAATATTAAATATGAAAGCATTGCAACAGAAAAAAAAAGGTAAAATACAAATTGAAGACTAGTGTGTCATGCTGCTTAGTGCTTATAGTTAGACATGCACACTTGTTCCCATTGATGATCAGTTTAGACGATACAGCTATTGTATACGACTAGACGCTCACCTGCGGATCTGAAGGTCGTTGGTTCAGGTCACGTCGGAGCCGGATATTTTTTTGTTTAAAAATTTTCTTTAAAAAATGACCTTGGTACCCATTTTGACCCAGCCTTAAATGTTTGTCCGGTAGAGTCGTGGGAAGTAAAAGTGACTGGTGTGATTTGTACAGCACCCACCCAGTACCGATATAGGTCTGGTCCTATCTCCTCAAATCGCCAAATGGGCTGGAGAAGTGTCCTTTATTGATCATAGCATACCGAACATACCTGTAGATGCCTAACATACCTGTAGATGCCTAACATACCTGTAGATGCCTAACATACCTGTAGATGCCTAACATACCTGTAGATGCCTAACATACCTGTAGATGCCTAACATACCTGTAGATGCCTAACATACCTGTAGATGCCTAACATACCTGTAGATGCCTAACATACCTGTAGATGCCTAACATACCTGTAGATGCCTAACATACCTGTAGATGCCTAACATACCTGTAGATGCCTAACATACCTGTAGATGCCTAACATACCTGTAGATGCCTAACATACCTGTAGATGCCTAACATACCTGTAGATGCCTAACATACCTGTAGATGCCTAACATACCTGTAGATGCCTAACATACCTGTAGATGCCTAACATACCTGTAGATGCCTAACATACCTGTAGATGCCTAACATACCTGTAGATGCCTAACATACCTGTAGTTGCCTAACATACCTGTAGATGCCTAACATACCTGTAGATGCCTAACATACCTGTAGATGCCTAACATACCTGTAGATGCCTAACATACCTGTAGATGCCTAACATACCTGTAGATGCCTAACATACCTGTAGATGCCTAACAAAAGGCATTTACCACTGTAACAGACTCCGGAAGCATGCTAAGAAAGTCAAAGACAGGGATGCTTCGAACAGAATGGCAAGCTTCATTGGGAAGGTTACGGGTAGTGAGCATACATTGGATCTTTTCTCCAGGTCATGCTGGCGCAGCAGGTGGGGGGGGGGGGGGATGAAAATGCAGACAGATTGGCTGGATCTGCACCACTGGGATGTGAATTGATAATGACAAGGCAGATGTGGTTAACTCCCTTTAGGAATAAGCAACGGAATCAGAAGAGAAAGAAGATGTTTATGGCCTGGAGAGAATGAGGCTCCTAGGTGTAACCAGTGCTGTGGTGTCAATTGTTGACTAACCCCAATCAACTCGGCAGTAAATATCTTATGGTGTATATCCTGACTGCAGCTAATGTCCTGTGGTGTGCATGCTGACTGCTCTAGGAGCACGCCGGCTCTTTCCCACTTCCATACGTCCTTTCTAACTGTATCCCCACTTAATTCCAAACTGGTGCAGTTTTCCACATATTGTTTTATCTAACATTCTCTCTTTCATGAGAATTAATTTATTTATGGTTTCCTGTATCTCTGTCTAGTCCAATATTCTTGTGTTTCTACTGCTGTTGCTAGTTAGGCCAACACTTCCGTTTTTCATTTCCTCCGACTCCTACATAATCCCAATTTTGATGCTAAAGTCACGATAAATTAAATAAATGATTAGATAAAGCAAATATAATGTGCAGCAATAAATAGTAGGAGAGCTGAGAGATTAAAGTAGCTAAGGTCAGGGGTAACTACTACGTGTCCAGAAAATGTTTGCAAGGAAGTTGATAAATAGTACTCTCAACCTTCCAGGACCACGTTTCGGTGGAAAAAGGAAGTATAAACTGACTGCACCTAAAAAACATGTCGTATATGGCGACTTATTAGATGGGTTCTCTTCGAAGTGTAGTTGCATCTACCCAGGGCAGGTAACCAACAGCTTGCGCATAAAAAAGCCATATGTGTGAAATATGTTAACATGAGTACAGGGCAATTTTACCCCTTAGCATAAATTGTCAATATGAAGAAATCAGCATGTTTGCAGATCAGTTGGCATTCAGTGGGTGAATTAATATATATCACCCTGTATGCCGATACTCCCAAGGAAACGTTACTGTAATATCACTGCGTTTGTGGACATGGGTACTGTAATGTAATTACATTTTAATTAGGTTTTCAACCAAAGCAGTAATTTTTAATGTCTTTGTTATTTCATGAAAAAATAAATTAGAGATGTTTGACTGCATATGTGTGCATCTCTATGTGTCTTTTATTCTACACAGCTTCGGAGTCCTATACTGTGTTCAGCTGTGGGTAGTTTAATAGGCTCAAAAAGCAGGATTCGTGTATTACAAGAGAAGTTAATAAGTTTGTTAAAGCAGAATATATTAATCCAAGGGGAAAAATTGTGAATTTTTTAATGTATTTATCTTAAGCAGTACATCTTTGATGCGAACGCTTCGTAATGCCGAGATGCCGGGTTCGATCCCAACTGCGGGCCATGCACCTTGCGTTGGTTTCGACAGTGGTCTCAAGAAAGCCGACCGTCCAGAGGCAATGGCAAACTATTGAACGTAAATTTGCCTAGAAAAACCACACAACAGCCAAGGGCTGTCAGGGTTGGTTCTGCAACGTCCTGTATAGGGTACGCAACTAACCAGTACAGCTTTGTCAATATATTGTGTAATTATAAAAGAAAAAACATGGAAATCGTAGACAATTAATATTCAATTCAGAAATTTCTTACAGACTCCAGAAATTTGGTTCTATAGAACGATACTGATAATGCACTGGGCAGAGAAGAAAAGAAACATCGTTGAGACGATTTTGTTGAAACCATCTAACTAGAACACTACTTGTATCCAGATAAGAAAATCAGTAAATGAAAATATCTTGAAATAGAGGAAAATGAAAATGACATGCAAACACAAAGGTTTATTGGGAAGAGGGCGGGCCAACCCGGGTGACGACTCCCTAGTTTCGGGACACTCCTCTTGTGCTTCTGAATCCTTGCCGGGGAAAAAAAAAGATTGCTTAAAAAGAGGACTACAGAGAGAATCCTAGAAATATAGCGTACTGGCATTCGAACTCCGTTTGCGACAATATAGGAAGCAAGCAGGCTTTGGTCAAACTGGACATTTTCATGTGGGGTGACCATAATATTTGGAGCGGAAAACAGGACGTCCCACTAATATTTTGAGATGAATATCATCAGCTAATACCGTCTCCTTGTGGGATACAGTCGTTCGTTATTTCGAAGCCCCAACCTGGCTGTTGCAGGGGGGCCCTAATATAACCCAACCTGTTGACCGGCGATCATCATCCGAACGGTGGCACTTTATGTCACCGGGGGTTCATCGCTAGGTGTGATGTCCTGGTGGGGTTGAACGTCAGTCAGCTTAAAAAAAAAGATATACGCAGTAATATTCCGAACCGAAAACTGGACATGATAAGTAAACCAGTTTTACTATTTTTTTCCCGAGGTCACCGCAGTGACTGCAGTGACTGGCTCTCCCTGGGTGGGTTCCGGGACCTCGTTTTGGTGTAAACGGCGTTTGGGTTGGGGGGAGGGGGTGGGTGGATCCATTGCAATCTAACAAAAACATCTCATAACAGCTGATTCTTTAATGATGTTTTCGTCGCAATGCATTTGCGAGAGAAGCGAATAACCAACACTCATTAAACAAGTAAGAGAGATCTGTAAAACCAAAAGCACGGAATGTTCGGGTCAGGAACCAGACCAAAGTCCACAGGTGCATTAACAAACAGCATTTTTCCGATGGAATCGCAAGCAGTGAACAGGAGAAGAAGAAGAAAAAGCAAACGAAGAAGAAGAAGAAGAAGAAGAAGAAGAAGAAGAAGAAGAAGAAGAAGAAGAAAAAGAAGAAGAAGAAGAAGAAGAAGAAGAAGAAGAAGAAGAAGAAGAAGAAGAAGAAGAAGAAGAAGAAGAAGAAGAAGAAGAAGAAGAAAAGGAAGAAAAACAAGAACAAAAAGAAGAAAAAGAAGAACAATTACAAGAAAAAAAGAACAAATACAAGAACAACAAGAAAAGTAGAAAATAAGAAGAAGAAGAAGAAGAAGAAGAAGAAGAAGAAGAAGAAGAAGAAGAAGAAGAAGAAGAAGAAGAAGAAGAAGAAGAAGAAGAAGAAGAAGAAGAAGAAGAAGAAGAAGAAGAAGAAGAAGAAGAAGAAGAAGAAGAAGAAGAAGAAGAAGAAGAAAAAGAGGAAGAAGAAGAAGAAAAAGAGGAAGAAGAAGAAGAAGAAGAAGAAGAAGAAGAAGAAGAAGAAGAAGAAGAAGAAGAAGAAGAAGAAGAAGAAGAAGAAGAAGAAGAAGAAGAAGAAGAAAAAGAAAAAGAAGAAAAAAAAGATGATGATGAGATGATAACCTATAAACTTTAAAACCATATCTAATATGGTTGTAACATCGTGAATCATATTGATTGGAGTCGTGGACTGTCTCGCAATCTTTGAAGAAGAATATAGATAGCTGAAAAATACCAAGGACAAAGGGAAACGATTACTGACATCTACTAAACAATCTGAACATCCAGGAAAATTGGCTAGTAAGTAGCATCTTGTCTTGGAAGCTAAAATATTTTGGCCATATTAGTCGCACTTTGCATTGGAAAAATAATAGTAGAAATCATGGTGCCTGCAAAGGAGGAGCAGGATCTGTCCATAAAGAAGATGGACACATAAAATAAGTGACTCCTTG